TATGATAATTCAAACATTAACATATTTGTATTCTCGAACAGACTGTGGGTGAAGGGTTAAAGTTTAGCCCGTATATCCAGATTTTGTGTGTAAAACTATTAAGTTATAGGTAACGTACATGGGCACATGACTGATGATATATATATATATACATATTTACATGGAAACATATTACAGCTCAGGTTTGTTGTGTGTCCAGCTACTCGTGTCAGGCTCTGCTGGTTTATTATTTCATCGCTAACGAGAGTCTGGGTGAAGCTGCTGTCTCCGCCCGGCTGAGCAGCAGAGAGGGACTCATGGCTGCCGCTGGGCTGCAGATCAAACACGCCTCCAAGGACGTTCAGTTAATTGGTGAGAAAACATTCAGGGTTTATTTTTAATGGTCTGAAACAAAGTTTGAGGAGGTGGAATAACAATGAAAGAGGAAGTTGTTTCTCTGGTGTAAAATAAAAACGAATGAATCCTGTTGAGCTTGAACAGTGAAGCTCTAACATGATTCTGGCCTCAGCTCATTTAACAGGGTTTGATATTTAATTATATGAATTTTAAACAACGTGGACGACAAAATGAAACCACTTATTTTCTTCTTGTTTGTCTTCATCACATTTCTAAGGATCCTGGAGCTCAGTTCATCTTTTATTTATTTTATCATTCAGCCAAAACTCGGAGGTAACTTCTGTTTCCTCTGCCGACAGAAAACTGTCCAGAGGAGAATCCTCTTCCTTATCGCTGGCCTGAGAGTCGACCCACCGTGACCCGATACCTGCCCTGCTTCCCCAACAAGGACCAGAGCACGTCCAGGACCTGGTAACACACACGCACACACACGCACACACACACAAGTTTACATGGAGGGCGTGGCCTCCAGTTTTGTCCGTGAAACAGGAAGTTGTTGTATTTTGATCGACCATGTTCTGATTGGCTCTAAACTCCATGTTGGATTTGAAGATTCCTGACCTTTACACTTCTGACAATCTTCAGTCATCACAGCGCCACCTCCTGGACACATGAACTGTTTCCATAGTTTTATTGTCGTCTCTCCGACAGTTTGATCGACCCTCAGAACTACTCCTCCTACTGGTCGGCTGCAGACTCCAGTAACTGCACGGACATCGACACCATCGAGGTGTCAGCAGGTAGGTTCGGCCAATCAGGTACTGACACAGAGACCTGTCAGGTCAAAGGTCAAACGCAGTCTGAGGACGTCTCTCACACCTTGTTCGGTTCAGACTTTCAGACTTTTCACAATTAAAATATCAGGTGTGAAAGGTTCAGTCCAACCCATGTGATGCCAAGACGACGTCCAAAGTCCAAACTCTGAGTCAAACTGAAGAAAAGTGTCAATGTGTGAACTCTGTTTTCTGTTGTTAAGAAAACGCAGCTGAGGTGGCGGAGCAGCTCGCTAACATCACCAACACGGAGCTGCCCAGCGAGGAGGTGGGACACTCGTCTCTGTGACGTCTTTGCTGTGGTCCTGGAGACTCCTCCTGTCCTCCTGTCCTCATTTTGTCCTCCTCCTGTCCTCATCTCTCTGCAGGTGTCCAAAGTGGTGACGAAGGTCCAGGAGCTGGTGAACGTGGCAAAGATCAACGTGACTCTGGCGAACACAGTCGTCACCATCATCTCTAACGTGATGAGCAGCTCTGAGACGGCGCTCGCTGCCACGTCTGAGAAGTAACGACCATCTGTCTGTTCTACTGTACTCTACTGTACTTTACTGTACTCTACTGTACTTTACTCTACTGTACTTTACTGTACTCTACTGTACTGTACTCTACTGTACTGTACTGTACTGTATTATACTGTACTGTACTCTACTGTACTGTATTATACTGTACTGTACTGTACTATATTCTACTGTACTGTACTGTACTCTACTGTACTTTACTGTACTGTACTGTACTATATTCTACTGTACTGAACTCTACTGAACTGTCTGTCCTCCCTCAGGGCTCTGAAGACGGTGGACGAGTTGGTCCAGAAGATCGAGTTCGAGGGTCCGTCCCTCAGCATCAGCTCCAGACACTTGGCTCTGGGGATATCGAACCTGAACGCCACTGTGTTCAACGGCACATCCTTCAGCGCCTTCATTCCCCCGAACGCCACCGACCCGCAGGTTAAACCCGAGTCATGAAATCTGAGTGTGGACAAAGAGAAAGGTTCTGACGTGAAGTTCTCTGTCCTCAGATTGTGTTTGAGTCCGAGCGGCTCCACCCTCTGGCTCAGGTCACCCTCCCCTCCTCGCTGCTGTCCAGTGTCTCTCTGAGCGAGTCCGAGCGCTCGTCTCTGTCCAGGATCAACTTCATGTTCTTCAAGAAGACCAGTCTGTTCCAGGTCAGTGCAGCGCCCCCCCCCCCACATCAGCTGACAGAACGTTTCATGACGTGAGCGTGAGGTTGATGAATGTTGGTGTTTCCAGAGGGAGCAGGACGGGCGCTCTCTCAACAGTTACGTTGTGGCGAGCACTGTCGGAAACCTCTCCATCAGAGGCCTGACGGAGCCGGTGGAGATTGAGATCGCTCACATCTCCGAACAGGTACGATAACACTGAGCTGTGTGTGTGTGTGTGTGTGTGTGTGTGTGTGTGTTCCAATGACACTTAATTCAAACTCTTTGTAGAACCTAAATGTTTCCTCACGAAAGCTGATTTTATGTTATTATTATTTTAGTATTTATTCTGTTTCCTCTTGTGAGACAGAAACTTGACGCTGTGTCTCATGTTTCCTCTCAGTTCTCCTCCCGTCCAGTTTGTATGTTCTGGGACTTCAGCCTCAACAGTAAGTCTGTCGTCATGTTCATCACATGTTCAACACATGTTCATCACATGTTCATCACATGTTCATCAGAATGTAATGACATGACTCGATGCTGAACTGCATTGTGGTTCCTTTGCGTGTGATGGTGAAGACTGATTATTGATTGTTATGATTGTTCTCTACGATCATGACAGAAATGTTTTTTAATCAGAACCATCTTCTTTAATTAAAACAATTTGAGTTTAGAATCTGTCAATTCTTCATCGTTACGTCGTTAATGTGATGTAACACCTCTGTTCTGTCACTAGATGGCGCTGGAGGTTGGAACGGAGACGGCTGCAGAGTGTCCAAAGAATCCAGCAGCAACAAAACCATCTGTCTGTGTGATCACCTGACACACTTCGGCATCCTCATGGTACCTGTGTGTGTGTGTGTGTGTCTGTGTGTGTGTGTGTGTGTCTGTGTGTGTGTGTGTGTGTGTCTGTGTGTGTGTGTGTGTCTCAGGAATAGTTTTTAAAATGTGCTGAAATGAACCGTGTGTGTCCAACATTAGTGTCGATGTGATAATTATTTAAAAATCTGTTGAATTAGTTTTGATGTTGAAGAAAAACAGATTTTTTCTTTGTCTCTGCTGTGACGTTAGTTTTCCTTTGATCCTTTGACGTTATCCCGTTTTGCTCAGTGTTTCTCTGTCTCCCTCTGCAGGACATCTCAGGAGTTTCAGCCCACATAGATTCAAGGAACAACAAGATCCTGACCTTCATCACCTACATCGGCTGCGGCATCTCCGCCATCTTCTCTGCCGCCACACTGCTCACCTACATCGCCTTCGAGTGAGTGTGGTGTTCAGCTGAGCTCACAGGACAGGATCTGTTTTTCTTTATCAGGACGTAGAGTCCGACTGGACGCTGAGTTTCATAATTCATGGTCTGGTGCATCACTTTCAAATATACATCATGTATCATATATATATATATATATATATATATATATGTCGAGTATAGTTTCCTCAGGAGGAGGAGACCAAACATGGAGATAAAACACAGAGACTCAGGTTAAAAGTCTTTTCAGCCTCACGCCACATGTTCTTGTTCCTCAACTGCAGAAAGATTCGACGTGACTACCCGTCTAAGATCCTGATGAACCTCAGCGCGTCCTTACTCTTCCTGAACATGGTCTTCCTGCTGGACGGCTGGTTGGCCAGTCTGGAGAAGCACTGGCTGTGCTTGTCCGTGGCCGTCTTCCTGCACTACTTCCTGCTGACCTCCTTCACCTGGATGGGCTTAGAGTCCGTCCACATGTACATCGCCCTGGTCAAGGTCTTCAACACCTACATACGACGATACATCCTCAAGTTCTGCATCGTCGGCTGGGGTGAGGGTCTGGAATCTTTATCACAACTTTAATTAACTTTATTATAACAGAACTTTATTGATGTTGCTGTATGTTGTGATTTGTGAGATACAAATGAAACTGAGTTGCAGATTCTTTGGTGAACGTCTCAGATAGTCAGTTTAGTTTTTTTGTGGCTGATAGAATTTGATTTGTTCAGGATGAGTTTAGTGTTTCAGCCTGAATTGTTGTTTTAAATCTCTGCTTCACTTTCCATCCCTGACGTGTGCAGCTTCGTCTGTGAGGCCAAAGAATATTTTCTCTGCCAACATGCAGATAAAAGGATTCTGGTGTGATTCTTGTAATTGAGATATTTGGCAGCAGCAGGAAGAAGAAACTCTGATGTTGATTGTGTGTTTGGCTCCAGGTCTCCCGGCGGTGGTGGTGGGGATCGTCGTTGCGGTGGATAAAAACTCTTACGGGCTGCAGGAGTACGGCAAAGGAAGGTCAGGAGACGGATCCTCGGAGCTGTGAGTGGTCCCAGTATCAGGATATATTTATCAGTCATGACTCAAAGTCAACGATTTGTAATCAAACTTATTTGAAGGTGAAAAGTTGTTTGTGCCACAGAATCCAGATGTTTACAGGACGTGATGAATGATTAGCAGCCATAGTAACGACATGAGGGCCAATTACAGAGTC